GCAAAGTCGGCGGACAGTCCCAAGTTCGTCCGGTCAAGGACCCTGGTTCCATGACTTGGATGATACGCTATCTTGACGTCGGAAGCCTGTCCCAGCGCCTCACCGGTCTATTTCTCGGCGGCGTGACCTCACAAGACAGGAGGTTGAAACTCATCGAGTGCATGACGGTCAAGCCACGGCGGGTCAGAGCCTGCTGCACGACATAGACATCCCGCCTGTATGTCGCTGGTCTTGCCGTCTTGGGAATCACTGCAGCGCGTCAAGCGGACAGCCCACTTTGATGCCCACCTTCGGGTATCATCCACACCCAGATTCGGGAGCGCAACCGCAAGTGGGACTGGAGCTTATTCCAACTTCCACGATGCAGAGCGTGTGGGCAGTGTGTGCATTCGAGGAGCATTGCGCGTACGGGGAGCGCAGATGCGGCCACCTAGCACGCGCAGTGGTGCCATCGAAACCCTGAAAGCGATTGAGCGCACGGTGTCGCATCGGATGGCATGGCGCAAGCTGCAAGAATCGCTGGCATGCCGGGAGTTTGATACACAAGAGCGATGTGGGATAGCGCACAACACGTGGGGGGGTTGGCTCATCTGCATCTAACGGCACTCTGGCAAGCCACGACACCCGTCTAAGCTCAACTACAAAGCATCGCGCCATCGGTCTCTGTGACAGCATGCCGCTTGCCGAGGAAAATTTCTCTTCCATCACCTTGCACTCTAAAGCCTCGGCAAATTCTTCCGCAAAAGGTTGCGTTGTACTTTGCCAAGCATGCAACGTCAAGATCGGATGCTCTCAAGCGACGGTCACGGCAAGACTTTGTGCACACAATCTCTGGACAACATATTGCGCGTTCGAAAAGAGGCAGATAGATGCAGGATATGCACGGCGGCACAAGAGCGGACTAGGGCAGAGGGTGCGAAGTTATGAAGGAGTTGAGCTGGCAGGCATTGGATGCGTGTCACTTTTGGTGCTGTAATCGAGTCAGCAGCAGCACGCGGTATGCCGCATTGAGCGTCCTTCACCGTCAGCTTCGAGGCCGAGCGGCATCGTGATAGAAGACGCTAGCGGCGTTCCAAGTCGCGATACGTAAGCTGAGTGGACGAGAGGCATTCAACAATATTCGCCTTGGACGATCGCGGCCAACAAGACGTCGCGCATTGCTGTTGTCTCTGGAGCTGCAGCGTGTGTTGTTTCGATTTGAAAGCCCGGCGCCTCGACCTTCCAGCGCATCCATTCCGCAGAGCTGTTTCAAGACGTGAGGTTTCATTCGAGGGTCGCACAGCCGAAGGATCTGGCGAGCCGAAGATTTGGCGGACGCCGTTGCAATCTGCCGTCAAGGGATCCCAGCTACGCGCTAGCTGCTTGCGGGTAGCCATACGTCACGCTCACGAAACTTTTCACCTCACGCTCGGCGGCTGCCAACGGCCACGGGCCCAGCGCTCCCGCCAGCGACGGCTCGGAGAGAGCTGAGAGACATGCAGCAGAGTATTGCGACCACGGGAGATGCTGGCACAGCGGTGCGGAAACATTGCTGGGGCGTGGAGCTCGCCGGGCGCGCTTGGTTTCATGGACGGATATAACACCCCAGCAAGCCACAGCCGCCAACGCGACGTGAAGCTCGGCCTTTGTCGGGTCGATGCTCGGATGAGTTGCTTGCTCGCGCTCGCTGGCCTTACCGATCCGGTGGCTCTGACAAGTCACGCAGACTAAGGCGCGCCGACAGTACGTACGAGCAACTGGGAGGTACCATGGGAATGGGGGTTCTGGAAAGTGAAACCGCCAAAGACGGTGCGGGCGATGGTGGAATGAGGCTCTTGCCCTTATCGATTGCCGCGCCGTGGCGTGGTTGAAACTCCTGGGCCATGGTAATGGACGAGGTCGGGGGACATACGGGAGGGCTATGATACGCCTCGATACACGCACCCAGCTTCGGAGGTGGGCACGACTCAAGGGCCCCGGCCAGCGCGTAGACTAGGAATCTAAGGCATCTGTGCATGTGCATGCAATTGGGTCCTGGCCCGTTAGCCCACGAACGGCTGTCGTCATTGGTAATAACTTTTTCCAACGGGCGGCGCATACGCGCTCCAATGCAGTGCACACAATACGAACATCTCACGTATGCGAAAAGTCATCAGTCTCGGTCATCACGTGCCGCGCCCGAGTCCCTAGTCCCTAGGCGTAGTCGGGGTCTCGAGATGGTCCTGCATCTCTCCCACTGTCCTCACCTACTATTCCCGCCCTAAGTCTGTAACGTCGCTGCACAGGCACCCCGACGCGCTTGCCGCGACAAGACCTTGTTCAGAAATCTCTTGCGCGTCCGACGCCTCCCCTGCCTCCTCACAGTATCTGCCACCCACATTATTCTTGACAAGCCATATCTGCTCGCTATCAACGTCCGGCAAGCTCCGGCATTCAGCAGCGCGGAAACAGGAATTACGTGGTGCGGAAGACGGGCACTTCTCGCAGCAGAACTCGCATATTTTTTTCGCCGACCGCTATCTCTACCCCGAGCCACCTTCTCCCCTCCCCCAAAGCTCCCCAACAGCCCTCACTCCTGTCGTGGGTCTACCGTACCTGTCTCGTGCTTACAGCTCTCCACTTGGTCTATCCGCAATCAATCGGCTGAGGCTGAAGGGTGTGTGGGCCGCCGATCTGCAGCAGGTCCCTTGTCCCTTCGCGTGAATTGCCGCGCGAGCCAGGCAAACCACCGCCGCAACTTTCTTGCTAGTCCAGCTACGAGAAACCCGTCGTCGCCGGTAAACTCTTCCATTCCACATCGTCGCCCCTCTTACCCATCACCTCGACGTCTCACCCACTGCGGGCTCCCCAATTCCACCTCACCCGTGGAGTACCCGCCGACGCGTCTCGACTGGCCATCTCAGTCCCCCACACGGCTCCACCTGTAAAGCTTCTTCGTGGCCCATCGTTCCTCCATCCCGACGTCCGTCCAACGGCCCTCGTCGTGTGCTTAGCCAGCCCTGCACACGTTACTCCGCCCTAAGCTCCGTCGAATGGTCCCTTCACGACTAACAATTGGTCGCGCCTTCCCCATCACTTCACTCACCCTCGACCCACCAATAACTTCACTATGGATTCCACAGACCGATTCCGTCAGCCTGGCCTCAATAGCTACCCATCAATAGGCCAGCAGCAGTACAATGGCAACAACAACCAGCTGCCCACCCTGCCGCCTCTACAGAGCGCCAGCCAGTACGCGCCCATGTACAGCCACAATAGCAACCCTCACACGCCCCAGCCGCCGCACACGCCTGTGACCTCGGCCGCCAATGGCAGCTCTACCATGCCTCCGCTGCAGCACCCGCCGCTGCGACCCCTCCAGCCTACGCCGAGTTCGTACATGCCCATGTCGTCGGCCTATTCGCAGGCGCCTATGCTTTCCACCGCATCTGCGCATACCAACGGCCACCAGCTCGGCGGCCCTCCTGGCATGGGACTGGGACACACGTCCATGTACGCCCACCCTCCCGTGCTCCCCAACCAGGAGCCCGAGCCCGTTCACGTCGTCGGTCAGCAAGGTCGTCGCGGAGTCTTGCCCACGCACCCCGGTAGGCCCGCGCCCGCTGCAGGCAAGACTCCCACCACTGCCACCAAGAACGCTGAGGGCAAATACGAGTGTCCTCACTGCAACAAGACGTACCTGCACCTGAAGCATCTCAAGCGTCATCTGTTGCGCCGTAAGTTTAGCCTCCACATAACCGTGCTCCGCTTCTAACGTTACACAGACACCGGCGAGCGGCCCTACCAATGCCATCTGTGCAAGGACACTTTTAGCAGAAGCGACATCCTGAAGCGTCACTTCCAAAAGTGCTCAATACGAAGGGGTAACCCAACCGGCGCGAACCACCTCCAGCACGCGCAACAACATTTGCAGAAGAACAGGCAGCCCAGCGGCGCGGACCAGAACTCGTACCTCAACCACATTGGCGCGAATTCCATGTCTTACGCAGATGCTGGTGGCTACACCATGGGCTTGCCTCAGATGCCGGCGATGGGCGGCAATGGCTTCAACGACAGCCTACCTTCGCTTGCCAACCATCACCAGTCTATGTCGGCGCGCACATCTCGCTCTAACAGCTTGATGCGCCCCAGCAGTGGAGTCGAGGACAGCGCGCATCGTAGGAGCATGTCGGCCATGGACTTCGCGAACAACAGGATGAACTTCAACGACTACCGGCCCGACGGTCTCGCCAATGGCTACGCGCAACAACAGCAGCAACAGCAGACTCAGCCTGCAGCCAACGGATCCGACCCCAACTCCCATTACAACAACTATGACCACGCCTCTACCAATGGTTCAATGGCACAGAATGGCATGACGGTCAAGAGTGAGGCCGCGGACCCAGCTTCGTACGGAGGAGCATCGACCCTGCCCAACGTGGACGGCATGCCCAACGGCCAGGATGGCTCACTTTGGCGAAACGGATCGTTCAACGGCGATATGAATAATTCCAGTACGGCAGGTGGCCCAACCTTTCAAAAATCGGCCCAGTTCTGACCGGAACTTTTAGACCTCAGATGATACACCACATGATACTTTGTTTGGACTATACTCGCATGTTCCCAGTTTGGCCGACTCTTCCCCGATGCTTGACAACTGGTTTATTGGCCAATCCACGTCTGATCCTCTGCACAACCTGGCACAATCGCTTTTCAACTTTTGCTTTCCGAATGCGTCTTTGCTTTCAAATCAACAATCAGACGAGGCGCACGCTCACGAAAGGCTGAAGACTATCTTGACTGGAGACAACGTAAAGGATTTCCTACACCAATACAGACACTATCAATCACACTGGCCTTTGATACACGTTGCAACATTTGATCCGTTTTCCGCCAACCCTGGGCTTGTTCTGGCGATGTGCTGTGTTGGCGCCGTGTATTCTGACCGAATGCGCCCTTCGGATGTCCGATGGCTCATGGATCGTGTTCGAGAAAGCATGCTGAAATCTAGTCATGTTCACGAACTGGCGCAGGCGCACCAGATGGCTGATCTGAACCATCAGCTGACTGCGACTACCGAGGAGATACAAGCACTAGTCCTTCTTCACTCTCAGTTCCTATGGCACGGGTCCCAGCAACAACGTCAGCAAGTGCGAGATGAGGTGCGGGCAGTGGTCAACATTACACGTTGTGCGGCACTGTTTCAACCTCTTCCCCAGGACAATCCGAACGCGAGCGCGTTGCATCAACCTGGACCAGTAACAGGTGCAGAGGTGGACTTATGGAACTGGAACTCTTGGATCGAGAATGAAAAGCGAACTCGATTGGCGGCATACATCTATCTTATCGATGCTTCTTCCACCATTTTCTTCAACACACAGCCCAGGTTCGACGCCAAGAGCATCACAGTCCCTCTGCCGGCCGATGATGCAGCCTGGGAAGCGAAGACTTCTGAAGAATGCGCCAGTGCTTTGGGTCTGAGAGGCTCGTCAGCGCAGATGAGCAATGAATCGGGAAGCAGACGGGCAAAACAACTAGCCTTGTGCGAGGCGTTGTGTGTACTCAATGGAGCCTGTCCAGGAAAATTTCCTGAGCGGGCTACTAATGTCTTTGGAAAATTCAGTAAGTTTTCTCTGTCTGCCGTCGACAATAGCCATCTAACGTCTCCAGTTCTCATTCATGCGATTCATGCTCAAATCTACAACATCCAGCATCAGCTGCTCCAGCGAGTGTCTTCGAGCGGTACAAGCACACCCCGATCGCAAGGCGATAGTCCTGCCACACCACCAAATGGCGTTAATGAGCAAATCCAAAATAAGCTCCGTTCCACGGTCGGCGCACTTTCGCTGTGGAAGGCGTGCTGGGACAAGGACCTTGCTATTCAGTTCACACAGAACCAGCGTCGACGTGGATTCTGCCGAGACGGCATCCACTTTTACTTCCTAGCTCAAGCGTTCTTGCGGCAGTCTCGACCAGACGACTGGGCCGCTCCTGCCGATGTTCGGTGCCGGCATGTGTTCAATCTCCTGAAACAGATTAGACATTACGTTGCATCAGACTCCGCCCAGAAAGGCATCGAGATCGGCTCTATGGTTGCCATCGCTGACGACTACGCCATCGCCGACTTGACGCTTAACATGAAACGTCTTTTCACGCCTCTCGACGAAATCTGAGCGCCACCGCCTTTGCTCATTCCTACTCCATTGCCTAAAACGGTCATCGGGCATCATCAGCATCAATCCAAACTCCATAAACATGCGACAGTACATCTCCACAACAAAGTATCATCAACATATCATCGAGATCCATATCACTCTACCATCGAAACCATTAGACTCATTACAATTTCAGCAAATTCGCCCAGCACGAGTCGAACTCAGCTGGGCGATGCATTCTCATCGGAGTTCCCGGAGCCAGCCTTGCGGCCAACGGGCATGCAAGGCGTCACGAATCACACACGGCGGTATTCACGATTTCTTTTTCCATCATCAAAAAAAGCATTAGACACATCACCTCACCAATTGCATCTGCCAGGGGCAACGGACCAGTCATCTATCATGCACGGCGGCAGTACAAAGCAGAATTTCATGGGATCATCGGCTGAACTTCCTCCGCGAAGTGCAACGCAGATTAGACTGTGCGGGTCATGTTTGGCTTCAGTGTATATGTTTACTTGTTCTTTTAACCACACTCGGTTCACTGCGTCATTCACTGCATTTCAAGGTGTTATCATTCTACGGAGAAGCATAGATTAGAAAACAGGGTGTGTCTGTGTACCCGAAGCTGCCTTAGGCAAAAAAGTCGTCAATGAAATACGTTTGCTCCACACTGGGTCGTGCCGTACACCTGCATTTGGTGTAAAGGAAAAGTGGGTTGGTCTCAAACTGACATGCTGACCTAGTTAGGTATCCACCGAACTACCCTCGCTCCTGCTGTCTGTCAGCGTGGCGTGGGTCGGCCCTTCCTGCACGCGTGCCTCGGGATGTACTCCGCCGCAAGCCAGGGAATGCATACGCTATACTGATATCATCCGGTTAGAACTTAGTACGATGGGACCTGGGGAGACCCTTTCCAAACGTTCACGTGCCGCCCGTCAACTCTTCTCATCTTACCCCGGTGTGCGACTTCAGCAACGTGCGCAACGGGAGGAGGCTTGTGACTTTGTCGCGTGCGGCAATTAAAAAGCTGAATTACTCAATTACCATCAGCTCATGGCGCATGCGCAATGAAGCAGCGGATGCAGGCCAACTTCCTCTTCTTGCACCTCGTCGGCGGCATTCAGTATTAATGTCGCAGGATCAGAAGTCAAGGTACCAATACATTTGGACTGACGTAGAAGGCGATAAAGGGTTAAATGTTGGCAGTCCACCAGTGTTTGCCACAATATGCTGCTAGATTCAGAATCTCTACCCGCGATGTCGAGGCACAGCTGGAGGATGCAGCTTCTTCGCACTGGAGGCCGGCCTTGGTCTACTGGTACATCCGGCGCTTACATGTCGATTAGCCTACATCGGACTACAAACGAAGTTACACAATCTCATGTATCTGTTGCAGACTGACGCAATGTATTCGTCGTACATCTGCAGGTGTTTATTGCCGGGATAAGTCAGCTATCCAATTGGATTTGCATGATAAGAGTCACGTGGGCTTGGGCCTATCAGGGAGGATGAGCTGTAATAGAGAGGCAGCCTTGCTTTTCTGCTGCAACGTACTCTCGACAGCCTTCTTCTTCATGGTTATTCTCAAGCTGGAAACACTTTAGGAATCCTTCCAAACGTATCGGCGCAAGGGCGCTACTCGAGCGACGCATCCAGTTTTGTTTTACTCCACGCGCCTTTTTCGGCTGCTCGTGGCAAGATTCCGTCGGCCATGGCCGTATCCCCCACAGTAGACGAGCGCCGCGATTCTTTGAAAGACGGAGAACAGTTTCCCAGCAACTGTACCACGTTCTGCGATCGATGTGTGAACATGTGCTCGAAAATGAGAAAATGCCTAGTTATTGAGGCAGAGACTAAGGCGGCTCGGCTTGCGTGGAAAGAGTCGCCTCTTCGCTTTGAGTGGCCAGAGTATCAAGACGGCGATTCTTTCGAGCTTGATATTAGCTCTGGAGAATTGAAAGCTTCGGCCTGCGAACTCTGTCGAGCAATTGGAATAGCAGTCTCTGGGGAAATAGGAGACTGGACACGGGAAATGGCGTCACCCATGTTCGCATGGAATCGATCTTCGGGCTCCTTCTTTTTCGATTACAACTACCGAAACATGGGCGGTGATTTGACCATTCTGACGTCGTCTGATTTTGGGAGCTACTCCTCATTATCTGATCTAGAATGGGTCAGAGACTGGATAGAAGACTGCTCAGCTTCCCACAATTGTTGCAGTGTAAGGCAGCAAGGATCATTACAGGGTCTTAGGGTGATCGATTGTATCCAGAAAATTGTTGTTCTGGCGCCTGAGAGATGTGATTATGTCGCATTGTCATATGTTTGGGGCAAGGCCGGTAATATGCCGCTGCAAGAGAGCTCAGATTTGGAAGCAGGACTACCTGCTACGGTTGAGGATAGTATCACTGCGACTCTGCTTCTTGGCTACCAGTACCTTTGGGTGGACAAATACGTACGACTACATACCCTTCTTCAGAATTTCCTTGACTGACCATAACTTCAGTGTGTGCAACCACATAACTCCAGGGATAAACACGTACAAATCCGACAAATGGACCTTATATATGCTTCTGCTCACTTCACCCTCATCAGAGCGGCTGGTGAAGATTGCACGTATAGATTACCTAGTGTAGGGCGGAAACGTATCTTCCCTGATATATCCATTAACCTCGGCCCCGTGACTTTAGGATTCGAATTAGGAGTCTCTTCAGTCGCCTCACAAATTAAATATCCCACATGGTCTACTCGCACATAGTAAGTCCAGTGCTTCATATAGCCCAAAGATATACCACAAAGGCTAACGTAACGTCAGAACTCTTCAAGAAGGATACCTTTCTCGAAGAAGACTGTATTTCACAGATTACGAAATTTTGTTCGTTTGTAATAAGTCTACAGAAAACGAATTCATCTCAAGTGGCCGCGAGGCGTCTGTCAACAACCTCAAGTTTACCTTTCCCACATCTAACCCAAAAAAAAAACGCTTCTACGTTGAGCATAGGGATGGATTTACTAGAAAAGTACTCTGCTCGTAGTCTCAGTTTCCAGTCTAACGCGCTGAATGCAGTGCTTGGCATATTTAAATCCCTCCGGAACGAGCCTGACCCAGTAGGCAGCATTTGGGGTCTCCCATTTGGAAACGATGCTCCTAAGGGTGAAAGGCGCAAGTTTTGTTTGTCCCTCTATTGGGAGAACTGTGGACGCAGAACTCGACGGCATGGATACCCAAGCTGGTCTCCTCTTGCATGGCAAGGAGATAAGTGTTTCAACCAATTTCAGCACCCTGTATCGGTGCGAAATTCAAGGGCACTTTGGGAACAATGCGATCGTCAATACAGCGCGGGAAATACAGCAGAAGTATCAAACGAACTTTTCCTGACTGCATATATTCTACGACTATTCGTAGACTACAATGGCAAAACCGGCAGGGCCCGCGTCGTTTTGCCCACCCCGGATGACATGTATTCCCTGATAAGCTGGGATGATATGGATGGAGGAAAGGGAGACTTAAAATCAGTACTATGTGCAGTCACGTTCAGCAGCGAGTACAACGTTCTTGGCAGCCTCACGGTTTTTAGTTTCATCATCCTCGAGGCGCGCGGAGAGAGGTATAAGCGACAGAGAATCGCGCAACCAGAAGTGCCCTCATCTAAGAGAAGACCAGAGAAGTGGTTCGAAGATCGCGTCAAGCAGACGATCATACTTATGTAATCGCGATTACGGTTGCAAGTCGAAAGCGAATACATGAAACTGAAGGGAAAAGAGGGATGCGGGAATGCGGTCTTCGGGAGTGATCACAGTTTTGCGCGTTACTTGCACTACTATCGCAAGCCCAAAAGACCACTCGTCGCCATAAGCTCTTCACGCTTGACCCAGTAGCTACTTAGTCAATTTGCTTGATAGGAGGTATCTTCTAGGAAGTTGATGTCTGCACGAGCTTGTTATATCTAAGCAACGCTTCGTATATCTATATAAGCGTTGAAATATTCTAGTATGCAAATGCATCATATTTTTAAAGACTTTCTAGATAAATGTAAGACGCCATATGATTACGACGTTATCTACTTCGCACTATGGCTTTGTGTGAAGGCAGTTTAGACATGCCGTGATATGCGACGCGTGCATGTCCAATCGAAGGTAAAGTAGATTGCGAAGGTGAATGTTAACCTGGAGATGGCCAGCATCAAGCCTCGTTCTGCGAGATTGGATAGTAGTGAACGAGGGCACATGTGTAGGTATCATGTAGCACTTGTCACAGTTGGCATATCAGATCACTACTCACATAAGTCACCTAAAGTGTCTTTCATTCTTCCTGCTGTATATTTCTTTGGCGAAAGGGACTCCTTCGTCTTCTGCGTAAAGCCTTCGCACTACTATGTCATGGTGCAAGCACGTTGCTACTGAGTTCTGGCCGTCGCATCTAAGCCTGCTATGTTTCCTTTATCTTGTCGGGTGAATAGAGTATTTCAATAGGCATATATGAATAAGGTCAAAGCATGGAGTCTCTAATGGGCAACGCATCTCGTCTAGAACTAGGTGAGTCACATTCGAACATGGCCAAGAAGGTGGACTAATTGTGGCATTAATTTGACAGGACCTTACAAAGACAGAGGTTGGTATATTACACAATGATTCGGCAAGAGGAAGAGCGTCATGAAGGCATGCCATATGGGAACTAAAAGAGGAGAGAGATTTGGCTTAGGTCGGCTACGTTAACGCGCGTGCATCACAAACTTACAATACATCGTCTAAAGATCTCTCAAGCGGTCAGATCAGGATTGAGACGGTTGTAAAACTAAGAGATAGGATGGAGGAAGACTCTCTACTTGATTGGAAGACATTTTTGGAGAACAGAATATATTGTAGGCGTTGGTTGCTAGGCAGCGACAAGCGTTCTGCTCCGGAAGAGCAGCGTGAGACCGGTTCCATAGCGTATGTTCAACATAGTACAGTAACAGCTCCACGATACTACTAGATTGACGAGAGTACTCGACCGTTGAAACAGTGCTTTATCT